GTACCACAGTGGACACCTTAGCTGGGTATAACAGAATTGGGCTGAGGGGGTAATATAAAAATTCTGGGATACATGGGAAATAGTCTATGGCTGATAAACATTTAGATGTTTAATGGAACCAACATTAGGGTCAAGATTTTGACTCCCTATAATTAACTTATTAGCACAGTTCACAGAGTCTTTCTTACCTAGAAGTCAACCCATTCTCCTACGGGGCAGATCTAATCAGTAGGAACAGTACTTAGGCCCAGAGTATACTTAGGGGCCTACAAAAATGTTTCAGTTTAAGATCAGAAGAAATGAATAGTCATCCATATTGTCATCTTTATGCCAATGTGATCTGAACTGATTATCATCATAGCCCAGGTTGGTCTCCAGCTCTCAGTCTAGCTCATGTGTACTTCTTATCTTCTTGCTTCTACGTCCTAACTGCTGGGATTATTACCCTGGGCTAGCCTGGGCTAGCCTGGGCCACCATACCTAGTGTACCTGGCTTAAAGAATCAAATTTCTTTTTTTTAAATTAATATTTTACATTTTACATGTATGTTTCTCTTCATGTTTGTCTATGTACCACTTGTGCCTGGTGTGCCTAGAGGCCAGAAGGTGACATGATCTTCCAGAACTGTAGTTGCAGATGGTTGTGAGTCACCATGTGGTTGCTGGGAATTGAATCCCTGTCTTCTTCAAGAGCAGAAAGAGCTCCTGATCACCAAGCCATCTCTCCAGCTTCCCCTACCACCTTCCTCCTCTGAGACAGGGTCTTGCTCTGTAGCCCTGGCTGGCTTGGAACTTGCTATGTAGACCAGGCTAGCCTCAAACCAATGCCTGCCCTTCTCTGCCTTAGGACACACCACAGTCAGCTTCTCCCTTCAGTCTCCCTTACTCCTTCATCACCCTTTGGTCTTCCTCACCCCTTCATCTCGCTGTCTTTATTTCCCAGGCTTCTGCCTTTGCCTGTGGTTTGTCTCAGCTGAAGAGCTGCTGTGGGACACCTCTGCCTGAGTCCTTTCCACCACGGCCTTTGATGGGGCCGGCTGCCACCATATTAGGCCTCCCTTGACTCCTTTTGATGCTTTTCCTCAGGCATTCTGGGACTTTAGAGTGGGAGCTCCCCAGGGGAAGGGCCCTATCTTATATCTCACACCTACACACACTGCACACCCAATACACACTGGAGGATGTCTATAGACGTGACAGTAGCTGCAGGAGGACAATGTGGTCCTTGCCAGTCTAATCCGTTTCAGTTATGGGCCAAAGCAGGGAGAGAGGAACCCAGATCCAACATCTTTTACTAAAACCATAAAACCTTTATTTCCACCAGGTTCCCAGTCAGCCTCTCTTCCCTTTCCCATCCTGGATCACAACTTGGTCAGACTCTTTCCCTTTGGCTGGGCTACCTCTGATTGTCTCCCAGGGGACAATGGAGGAGCAGGAGGCAGCTGTGGTCCCATGCTAAAGTCCCCCCAAAGCCTTCCTGGATCGGTTCTATTTTCTTCCAGGTGGAGCGACCGTGGGGTCCAAGTTGATTGTAGGAAGGTTGGCATCCTAGAGTCGGCTCCGCATGGGGCACCCAAGGGAGCAGATGGGGTCAGCCCTCCAGGCAACTGCACTGTCCCTGACCCTTCAGGATTGCTAGGACTCCGATTAGCCTTATCTTGGGTCTGAGCTTGGAGCTGCCAAACCTCTTGCCAGGTGACCTTGGACCAGCACCCATCTAGTTTCTACTAAGGAATAAATGTAAAATGGGGGGGGGGCTATCTTAGTTCAGGGTCTGCAAGGCAGCTCCCTTCATATTCTTCACGCTATTTTTTTTTTATTGCTTTTGAGAAAAGGTCTAATTGTGAAGCCCAGGCTGATCTTGGACTTGAGACCTTGCTGCTTCAGTCTCTGAGTATCAAGGTTACAGACCTGTGGCTTCACACCTACATCTTGCTTTGCTTTTTAACCTCCTTACCTACGGCTTAGAACAAAGGGGCCTTGGGCTTGAGACTCACCAGCTATCCCAGCCCATGAACTACTTTCCACACTAACAGCCCAGGATTCTCAATGTGGTCTTCCATCTTGCTACCTGGATTTCTGGAGGACAGCCAGCCAGAATGATCAGAGAAGGATCAAGAAACAGAATGGCTGGCAACTCACTGTCTAGTGTCCTTGTGTTCTGGAAGGAGACCCGGTATAGCACCAAAGATGGGAACTCAGCCCCAGCTTGAGCCACCTACCAGCTGTGTAACTGCAGAAAAGCCCTCTGCCTCCTTCCGCCTGCCCTGCTCTCCTGGCCTCCTTTTCTGTTTTCTGTGATGCTAAGAGGTTAAACCCTGGGCCTTTCCCTGAACTATTCTCCAGCCTGGTCTCAACCTTCTCAATGAATGGCTCCTTCCTGTCTCCTCCACAGATAACTGTGCAAATGACGTAGGATGAAGGCACTCTGTGTACATCAAGACGGTTTGCTGACAGGGTCTGTTAACAAGAGAGGGTCTCTGAATTTCCAGTCTCTCTGCAGGACACACTTTCAGGCTGCTTTGGAGGCCCCTGGCTCTAGGAGAGGAGGAAAGCCTTGGGCCAAGTAGCATGTGACCTCCTGGTCTCTCCACTGGCATGGAGGAAAGAAAATGGGACCCATGTTGTTGCAAGAAGAAGGTCCTGCCTTGGTGGCCACTGGGCTTAAACATCCAACTCTTGGGCCTCCAGAGGATCTGGGGGAGAGGACTCCCAGACACCCGTTGACCCTACTGCCTGGAGGGCTTGTTGGGCCTGCACTGGGGATGACCCCAGGCCTAGACAAACAGCCAGAGCTGGTAGGGGTCACTGGGATTACAGGGGGCCATGGCTGGCTTTTTGTCCTGGGATGTCAGGCAGGTACCAGATCCTGAGTTTCTGATGAGTTGATCCTAAAAGGCAATGAGGAAAGGGTTAAACTGAGGATGAGGAGACTCGGAAAGCTGATAAAAGGCAAAGGAAGTAGAGTGAGGTACGAAGAGGGTGCTTCCGACCTTTCCCAAGATGCACACACCACGGCCATGCTGGGCCCCAGAACCAGCTCTAACCTGATGGCTGTCACAGAAAACTGCAAGACCATGGCTTACAGAAAAACCCTTTCAGGGCCTCCTCTTTCTCTGGGGTGGCCAGCCTCAAAAACTTGGGGCTACATCTGCCTCGTCCCCTTTTCTACTTGTGGTTAGACTTTGGCACACAGAAGCTCGAGAGAGCCACGAGGACTCTTCACCCTCATCTATTTGGGGTCAGCCTTGAGATGCGCATGGCGGGTCGCCGTGGGTCACTGCTGTTCCACTTTTCTATCAGTCAGAACCAGGCATCAGCACACCTCGACCAAGTCCACAGCTACTGTGCTTTCTACCCTGCTTTCATCCCATGGTGCTCAGGAAGAAGAAGATGATGATAAAGAAGATGAGGAAGAGAAAGAAGGAGGAGGAAGAGGAGGAGGAGGGAGAAGGAGAGGGAGAGGAGGGAGAGAAGGGAAAGGAGGGAGAGGAAGAGGAAGAGGAGAAAGAAGAAGAGAAGAGGAAGAAGAGAAGGAGGAAGAAGAGGACAAGGAGGAAGAAGAGGAGAAGGAAGAAGAGGAGGAGGAGGAGGGAGAGAAGGAGGAGGGAGAAGGAAGAAGAGGACAAAGAAGAGGAGGAGGAGGAGGGAGAGAGAGAGAGAGAGAACACAGATGTGGTGCTCTGGACTCTCAGTCCCGGGCTTTCTGGGTCACTCACCTGGGTCAGTTCCCACTCCTCGTCCTTGGGTACTCTGCTATTCTGGCCAACGAACTGACAGCTCCTAAGGCCCAACGTGCTTCCACTGGCGTGTAGACACAGCTGCTTCCCAATGTTGTGGCGGAGTTCCCTCTGGGATGTGTACTCAAAGTACTGAAAGTCAAGATGAAGATGTCCTGTGGAACAGGTGGGGAGCTGGCCCACTACTTCCCGAAGCCACTGCCCTATGGTGCCAACGAGATGGCTTCCTGGGGGAGGGAGGGAGCTGTCCCAAGACTTACTGCTTTGTATCACCGTCCTGATTATTTCCACATCACGGTATACTGGACCAATGGTGCATATAGCTTCAACTGGAAACTAAACTTTCCCTTGGCCTTGTCTTAAGACTGACTACGAAGGAACACTAGCTCTGCTTTTTGGTGCGTGACATGAAGTCATCTTTTGTAGTTCAGGCTGGTCTAGATCTCTGCCATGTACACCAGGTTGGCCTCAAACCCCTGATCCTTCTGCCTCTGCCTTTCAATGACCAGATCACTGCACCATCCAGCCCACGGCAGGCACCATCACGACACCAGCTGGTTCTGGGTTTGCTTATAAACTACCACTGAAATGAAGGTTATTCATCAGCGAATCGCCCAAAACCATCTGACAAGCTGGTTGTACCTGAATCTGGTTCCAAACAGCTCTGTTTTCACTTGCATGTTTTGGCAGTCTATTCAGTACCCCAGGCTACACTTTAATACCCCAGGCTACTCTTTGTCTTGCTTCAGCTCTGTTTTTTAAATCCCTCCTATTAACCAGATCTGGGTATTGAATGGCTGAGGGCCAGCGGACGGTAGTGAGTTGGTTAGTTTTGTTACCTTGACACTAACTGGGGGCCGGGCAGTGGTGGCGCACGCCTTTAATCCCAGCACTTGGGAGGCAGAGGCAGGTGGATTTCTGAGTTCGAGGCCAGCCTGGTCTACAGAGTGAGTTCCAGGACAGCCAGGGCTACACAGAGAAACCCTGTCTCGAAAAACCAAAAAAAAAAAAAAAAAAAAAAGACACTAACTGAGGTCATCTGGAAGAAGAATCTCAATTGAGAAAATTCTCCCATCAGATTGGCTTGAGAAAACTCCCCCATCAGATTGGCCTGTGGGCAGGACTGTAGTGCATTTCTTGATTAATGATTGAAGTGAGAGGACCCAGCCCACTGTGGGACATGGTGCTCCTGGGCAGGTGCTCCTGCTGAGTAGGAAGCAAGCTGAATAGGGGCCTGGGAGAACACACCAGTAAGCTGTCTCTCTAAGGCCTCTGCCAGGTTCCTGCTCTGACGTCCATCCATGGTAGATGTGATGTGGAAATGTGACATCCACTTGTCAGGTATGGTGACCACACCTTTAATCCCAGGACTCGGGAGGCAGAGGCAGGTTGGTCTCTGTGAGTTTGTGGCCAGCCTGGTCTACAGAGTGAGTTTCAGGACATCCAGGGCTAAGCAGTGAGACCCTGTGTCTAAACCTTTCCTCTTTTGGTCATGGTGTTTTATCACAGACGTAGCAAGCTAACTAAGACAAGGAAGCATTGGTCACCCCTCAGGGATATGCCCTGTGCTGTGGGGTGTGGGTTAAGTGTCCAAAATGTCAGTAGTGGCTGTTTAAGGGGTCACTACTGGAGGTGGGGTAGGGTCAGAATGGTAGGCTCTGGCCAGTGGGGAATTAACGACAAAAGCTAAGTATATTCAGGTGTAGATGAAAGAGAGAAAGCGTTCAAGAATTCTCCACAGGCCCCAGCAGCTAGCTTCACCCACAGCCCTCCCTGTTAACATCCTCTGGTGACCTCCTCCTCCTGCTCCTCCTCTAGTGACCAGTATGGCATCAGCTCTGTGTCCCTGGTTCAGCCTGCAGACCTTGCCTGTGTGCTTCCTGCAGCAGGGGTGGTACCTCTTCCTGTATGGTAGAGAAAGGGGGCTCACGGGAAGAGGAGGCACCTGAGAGACATGCTTCTGTCGGGCCTGCCCGGAGGCCGGGGATGAGCACTCTACCTGATTGCCGCCGAGGTTGTGACAGACATACATGATGAGAGGCTTCCCGCCACGGTTGTTCTCACCCACATCCAAACACTGATTGGTGCCGAGATTCTTGATCTGCACAGAGGTAACACGGGGAAGCAGGATTCAGCTCAGCTGGGTGCGGGCCCAGCTGGAATGGCTTTTCCCCTCTGTGGGTGAGCCCAGATGCCTGGAGCCAATAACAAAGTGAAACTGAGGAGCCCCTGAGGATGGGCAGGGCAGGGTGCCTTCTGTGGGGAAAGATGGGCAGCCCCTTAGGATACTGAGTCCTGACACTCAGCATCACCCCAGACCTGTTCAAAAGGCAGAGTGGGCCGAGAAAGAGTGAGCATGCTGTCCCACAATGTGTGTTAACATGTCTCTATGGGGATTCTCACACGCTGAACACTTAAGAATCACTACTCATCCATTCCCCCCTTTATCAGGTCTTTCACTACGGAAGGGACTCCCAAACTGTCTCTTCCCCACCCTCCCGGCATGCCTTGTCTATTCCTAGGCTGCATGGTTTTGACTTCTTTGGGGTGCCCCGGTGACGTGCAGGCTAACTTACGGCTCCGTAGAAGGTGGGGTTCAGGTCGGGGACAAACATCTCTGGGTAGACATTGTGCAGGTACCAGGAAAAGTTGTGGCAGTGTAGCTGTTCCCTGAGTCGCAGTCGATCCGAAATGTCACCGAAGTTGTTCTGTCAACGAGTCAGTCCTCCAAAGGGTCAGTGCCACAGCCCGGGGCTTTCTGTCTGGGTTAAGGCAGCCCAGATACCACGGAGCACTGAACTACTCTCTGCTGCTCAGTCCCTACACAATGAGGCTACTGGCTCAGCCTCGCGGACACACAGTATCTGACTTAACATGGGGACCTCACCACCTCAAAACATGCCCTCATGCCCTGTGACTCCCCAGTCAGCCCTCCTGGTCTTCAGTTAGAGCCTGTCAGAGCCATCCCTCTGGTGGTGGTTTCTCCTCCTTATCTTTTCGTTCTTTTTCTCCCCTCTTAAGTGATGCTGGGACTTCCTACCCCCCCAGGTAGGGACAACTGGGGCTCCTCCTGAGCCCAGTGTGGCGTTCACAGGACTAGCTTATAGAGTTCTGAGGGATGAAGGGAGTCATGAAGGCAGAGATGGGACGGCTCTGCCACTGGGAAGCTGACCAGGGGCTTGGAATCCCACATGTCTCTCGCCAGCCACCCAGGCACTGGTGTCTCACCTCCTCGACCATCTTTGCAGCCTGCAGATTTCTCCTGTAGAAAATCTTCTTGTAGCCGTCCATCCAGACCTCAGCCAGGCGCACCTGATTGCGTGCGATGACACTGGTGCCCTTGGGGAAGGTGTGGGGACTCTTGGTACGGAACACGTGGCCAACCACAGAGCAGGGGATGATCTCCAGCTGGCCCCCACACTGCCACACCTGACACAAAGAAGACAGGATGAGGCCTTCAGAAAGGCGACGGGCAAGCTCACCCAAAGCAGGTCTCTTCAGTTCCCGGGACGTCAGGCCCCAGGTCCTAGATGTAGGTAAATGTTACCCTTTCCATCCCTGAAGAAAGAGACGTTGGCAGGTAACCCTAGGGAACGGCTACCCATTTCTAGGCTCTCTGCCTGCACTGGTTCACTCCGGGTGATGCACAGAGTCCTGATGTTACCAGAGTTCCCTTCAGAGAAGAGGCAGCTGGCTGGTTCTACACTGTGTATTTTCTCTTGGCTCTGGTCCTGGACTCTGACCTGGAGACATGCTAGCTTACCTCGGAGGCACAGAAAGCCTGACCTCCCCCAGATCAGAGCATCAGTCAGTAGCTTGTGCTCCCTGGTCCTGGAAGATGCCAGTTTTGGAGGAGAGCTTCTGGGTTGGGGTCAGAGGTTCACTGAACAGCGTGTACCAGATACTGGCTGGGAGCCCCTCTCTGTGCCAGTGGGCTAGCTGAAGGCATCTGTCCTACTGGTCTCTTTTGGGTGAGGTACCTATTCACTTTGCTATGGCAGCAGCAGAAGTCCACAGTCACAGCTCCAGTAACATCTGACGGCAATCGTGTGTTTAATATATGCCAGACACCGAGCGATGACTCCACTAGTGAGCTCATCTTCCCATCACTTGACCGCCAGCAGGGGGATTCATGCAGCTTTTAGAAGCAACCCTTCCTGACCTATCTTGATTTGCCTAGTTCTCAGGATTCCTCTGAGTTCTGTCTCCATCCAAATTAGGTTCCACCTCTCGTCTCTCAGTTACGAAGAGCTCACTGGAAGCGCATGGGGAATCCAAAGGCTCCCCAGGGTAGGCGTCTCTGACTTGGGAAGAGGGCCTTGAGTTTTCCAATATGGAGGATGGCAACTATTCCCTCGCCTGGTTTCATCATAGAACAGTCTGTAAACTAAGTTGGACCCTTACGGTTCCCATTATCCTCCCCCTCTTGGAGGTTCTGCCCTGGAACTTATTTTGAGGCATCAGTCTCGTTGACAGAGACTTACTGGGCCTAGCAGGGAGAGTGGAGCCCTGTCAGAGAACCAAGCTATCGCTGCCTGACAAAGGCCTGTGCAGCCATCCCTGAGACGCTGGGGTTTCCCTTTTCATCCTCACCCGGAAGGACATCTCCACATTCTCCCCTCCCCAGATCTCCATCTGGTTATCATAGGTACCGATGTGCTCAAAGTAGGCCTTGGAGATAGAGAAGAGGCCGCCGGCAAACGTCGGGGACCTGGGGGGACAGAAGGAGAGAGCACAGGTATCATCATTAGAGGCAGGCGGGGAGGGCTGGTGGCTGGCTTCCCTCTGAGGCCTCCAACTTCATGTCCTGCTCCTGTTGGGTTGTGGAGCCCCTCCGCTAACGTCCACTGTGCCTGCCTCCCCTTCTAGAACTGGGCCCGGGAGGAAGGCAGTCAGCAACACTCTTAAATGGACTCCTCCGTCTGTTCAACTGGGGATGTAGGAACCACCACCCTGGAGAACCACCACCGGAGAGCCCTGGAGGTGGGGGAGCAGTCCAGAGGTAGTGGGAGGAGTCTAGAATGAGGGGAGGGGTCGAGCGAGGGGAGGAGTCTAGAACAAGGGGAGGGGTCTAGAATGAGGGGCGGGGTCTAGAGGAGGAGGAGTTTAGAGAGAGGGAGATGCAGTCTAGAGAAGGGGGAACAGTCTAGAGAGAGAGGGAGCAGTTGCTATTTTCTGTGTTGGTGTGACTAAATAAAGCAGTTCTGCAACCTTCGGAAGGCCCCCACCCCGACTCCAGACAGATTCTGCAAATAGGCAGGATGTAGACAGGAAGGAAGGAGTGCATGTTATCAGCTGGGCCAACCCCACTCAGATTCAGGGCCCAAAACCCTCCATGGCCACGGTATTAGCTGAGACCTAGCCTGCTAATGTGTTTTAGACTTCCAAGGGAAGCTGCTGGTTGTCTTGGACAGGGGACACTAGTGAGTAGAGGTGCTCCTGGTAACTGGAGGTCGGGGGAGGGAGAACTCAGTTTGGACTGTGGGGAGACTCCTAAGAGTTCTGGCTTTCAGACAAAGGCAGGGAGGCACAGACTGAGCCAATGAAGAACATGATCTCATGGAGTCCAGCCATGGGGATTCTCTGGACCTGCTCTCATCTTCCAGATGTTGTTTCTACAGCCATTTTCTAGAAGGAATTTTAGTTGGGAAACCCTCACACTTGGGCTGGCTTTCCTGTTACCACTTCTGTCTTCTTCCTGGGGTCCCAAGCCTGCCCAAGTAGCACCAGGAAGGCTCTGAGAACCCTAGAACTCCACATGAACACCCCGAAGCTAGTCTGCTCTGGAAAGTCTGAGAGGATTCCCAAGACTGAGGGGGTCCTTGACAAATTAGCTTTGAGGAGAAAGGCCACTCAGAAACGTCCCTGTCAACTCACCCGACTCACCCTTGTTGCCTCTAAGAAACACCTGTATATCCTTGTCCGACTTCCTGGGACCCTGTGTCTCTTAGCTTTCACTTCAGCTATTTGCCGCTCTAAGAACGAGCATGTGAGGTACCTCCAACAGTACCGTTGGAGAACCACCTCACAAAGTGTTTCTAGCAAGCACCTGGGCCAAGTGACACATTCATCCTCAAACACTGGAGCTTTGTCCTCCAGTTGGACGGTCTTTGCAGAAGCCAGGACGTTAGTGATGGTTGGGAGCCAGGGCCCTGCCCTTAACCGTTCTGCTGTGTGCCTGGCCCCAGGCTGGGTGGGGTAAGGGTTTGTTGCTATACATACCAAACAAAGGCTCCTAGAGAAGCAGAGAGCCAGTAAGGAGTACTGACTTCTTCTCCTGTCTTCTTTCCTGTCTTTCTTTTGTTTTTCAAGATGGAGTACTGACTTCTTCTCCTGTCTTCTTTCCTGTCTTTCTTTTGTTTTTCAAGATGGAGGCCTAACTATAGTCCAGGCTGTACTGGAACTTTGTATTGGTAGCTCAGGCTGGCCTAAAATCCATACCGATCAGGACAGAACAACGGCACACAGAATCCAAACCACATAGCAACTATAATGTCACCCCAAGCCTTTAGTTGGAGATGAAGGTTTAAAACAGCAACGTGGGGGCTGGGGAGATGGCTCGGCAGCTACCGTGCTCCTAACGTGCTCGCCATGCATACATGAGGACCCGAGTTCCGATCCTGAAACCTCAGATAAACTCTAGGAGGGCATGGTAGCCTGCCTGGGACTCAAGACTCAGAGGCTGAGGCAGGATTCCCAGAGCAAGCTGGCTAACAACCCCGGCTATGCTGGTGAGTTCTGGGTTTAACTGGATGACACTGCTTCAATGAACAAGGTGGAAGATCAATTAAGAATGACTCCCGACATCAACCTGGGGTACAGAAACACACAGCAGAAGCACCTACCTACACATGTGCCCACACACAGGTGAAAACATGTGTATGTGCATGTGCAGTCAGGCAGACACACACGCAGACACACACGCAGACACACACACACACACACACACACACACATGATGAAAAGTAGAAAAAAAATCTGTAGGGTTTGGGTAAGCCTCTGTGGGCCTGAAGCGGCCCATTAGCTTCCTGCTGTCTAGCCTGGCTGCTCGTTTGCTAAGGCTCTATGGCAGTGGTTCTCAACCCTTTGGGGGGAGGTCACATGATCCCTTCTCAGGGGTCACACATCAGATATCCTGCATGTCATACATTTACGATTCATACCAGTGGCAAAATTATAGTTAGGTAGTAGCAGCAATGTAACCTTAAGGATGGGGGTCCCCACAACTGGGGTCCCCACAACATGAGGCACTGTATTAAAAGGCTGCAGCATTGGGAAGGTTGGGAATCACTGCTCTGTGAAGGATGATTTTGTTTTCTTTTGTTTTTTGGAGACAGGGTCTCTCAATGCAGCCTTGAGCTGGATGGCCAGGGATAACCTTGAATTTCTGAGATCGTCTTCCCTCCCAAAGGTGGGGGTTGCAGACAGGCACTGTCAGGCTCAGTTTGGTATTCACATTTTGAAACAATTATAAAAAAAACACAGAACCTAATCCCCCTGCCCCCCGAAAAGAACACTGATAGACTATGTACATAGGAGGCTTGGAAAGACTATTATGGTATGGGGATCAAAGAATGACGTGAAGACATAAAGCCTGGCGGACAGCCAGGTAAACTGGAGCAAGCTGTCATGGTGTCTGAGGCTTTGGTTCACACAAGGATGGGTCCTTGGCTACCCTGTGCTAGCTGCAGGATCTGAGGTAACCCGATTGCTGCTGTGGGCTTCCTTAGTCTCACTAACAGGCTAACGGAAGGACCCACCTCATAGGAGTGTGATTTGACAAAGCACCTAGCAGATGTTGGTGTGGGGTGGTACAGGTCCCCGGAGGAGCCAAGCGGGTAGAAGTCAGGGTGAGGGGTGAGCAGCAGTCAGTAAGTCCTTACTTGATGGGGTAGGTTTCATCCTTGCGCCTCTGCTTCTCGTGTTCCGGGAGCATCTCCCAGCCGAAGGTTAGGCTCCAGTCGAAGTTGCCACGGCTGTGGGCTTTGCCTCTCTGTACCGGTCTGGAGAACTGGAAGGTGTTAAGGTCGATGGTGACGATGTCTGGGCTCACCACCACTGTCTTGTCTTCAGCAATTCGAGCCAGAAGGGGTTCCAGCCAGCCGTGGAAACACTCACCTGCAGACCCAGGCAAGAAGGTGAAGGTCAGGGGGGTGTAGCCGCAGCTGGACCCTCTACCCTTGGAGGAGATTGAGGAAATGGGGTACAGGGAGGTAGGGAAGGGCGCACAGTCAGCTCCACAGCTGTAGGGGACACAGAGCATCCTGACAGGCAGAGGTGGCTTTGGAAGGGGGATGGTAGGTAGGCTTTGGGGAAGCAACTTGGCAGCACAAACCAGTGCAAACCGCCCTGGATCTGGAGGGGTTACCTCCAGGGTTTCCAGCCCCCACCCAGGTGTAGGCTTCAGAATGGCTCTTCTCCCTCCAGGATTTGTGTGTGTCAGCCCCCAAGTGTAGACCAACCCTCCCCACCCCACACTCGCCAGCCTTTGGGGATCTTTTTCCTTTCTAGTCTTTCCTTGGGAGCAGGGCGGCCTCAAACTTGCAGCGTTCTTCCCGCCTGTGGAACACTGTGCCAAATGTGGAGACAGCAGGCACAGGCCAGCACGCCTTGACTGTTCTGGGACTTAAGTTCTAAGTCAGAAATTCAGGGCACTGGATCCCCTAGAACTAGAGCTGTGGAGGGTTGTGAGCCACCACGTGGGTGCTGGGAATCAAACCATGGTCCTCAGCAAGGACAAGTGTTTTAACCTCCGAGCCATCCTTTGAGCTCAATTTTACTTTGTCTCAATGATATTTTGGGTAAAGAAACTGAGGCTCCATCAGTGGCCGAGTCAGAACTGAACGGTGTGGAGAATTTTCTGGTTTCTATTGTTCTTCATGAAACTTCCTGCAGGGGCGTGTCTCGGTCTCAGTCAAGGGGGAGGCCCTTTTTTTTTTTTTAAGACAGGGTTTCTCTGTGTAGCTCTGGCTGTCCTGGAACTCACTCTGTAGACCAGGCTGGCCTCGAACTCAGAACTCCGCCTGCCTCTGCCTCCCAAGTGCTGGGATTAAAGGCGTGAGCCATCACTGCCCAGCGGGGAGGCCTTTTTTAACAGAAAAGTTGTTTCCAGTGGGACAGGGTTTCTCCTCAGGGCGGGCCAGCTATTCTGAGTCACCAAGTCTCATGGTTGTGCTCTCTCAGAAGCCAGGCCTGGAGTCAGTGTGAGGAGGACAGAAGTGGGTGAGTCCCAAGCCCTCTTAGTCCTAAAACAGAAGGACTGGATGGTCCCAGCCCCTCCTCATTTGTCAGTGGTGAAGAGCAGGTAGGTCTCCTGGCACCAGTTGGACATGTTCTACTCACAGTGGGCGTCCAGGAACGTGAGCACCTCAGCCTGTGCCACGCTGGCCCCCAGCAGCCGGGCTGTGATGAGCCCCTTCCGCTCCTGCTGTCGAACCACGTGCACGATCTGCAGCTGCTGAACATACCGCTCCAGCCTCTCCTTCAGGTGCTCTGGAAGGGACATGGTCACTGTTACCAGCCCCTCACTAATCCCCTGTGGGTATCACGCCCAAGTACTCCCAAGAACTGCCCACAGAAGGTGAGGGCAGAGATGGGAAGGCAGGCAGGTTCCCCTTGAGGACAGGTCTGTCAGCACCATAATGTGTCTGTGGCCTCCTCCCCCAACCCCCAACCCCAGGTGTTGGGAATTAAACCCAGGGCCTTGTGGGTGCCCAGGAAGTGCTCCACCACTAAGCTACACTGCCCCGCACGAGCCTACTCTTTGACTTTATGGTCTACGTATGGGACTCTTTAGTGAGAATAAAACAAGCCAAGCAGATTTAATACTACCAGGGATTGTGGGTAAAGCTCAGTGGTCGGCACCTGCCTAGCACGGATACCTGTCCGGCACTATAACGTCCGGAGAGAGATCAGATTTCTGTTTTAGAGATAGAGTCAAACGAACCCCAGGCTGGCCTTGAACTCTTGATCATCCTGCCTCGACCTCCCCTCTCAAATGCTGGGCATGTCAGGAAGAATATCTACTTTCCACAGAAGATCCATCTGTCTGTCTATCTGTCTGTCTGTCTGTGTATCTATGAATGAATGACTCTATGCATCAAATACCCAGTGTTAAGAATCCAGGTACATCGGAGAACTCGGCAGACATGACTATCTTAGGGAAGCACACACTCTGGGTGTGGGTGATGGCGAGAGGCTATCATGGTGATCACAGTAGATGGTTAGCGATGTCAGGGGCAGTGCCGGCCTGCAACCCCTCCCTGCACAGAAGGGAAAGCCCCTCTGCTGAGGTCAGCGGCTCCTCCTGAGGGAGCATGCTGCCCCTTCTTCTGCTCCATGTACAGGTCAAGCCTCGGGCCTGACTTTGGCTCTTCCCTTTGTAGGAAACACCTGGAGAGGCTTTTTCTGGCCACGGTGGGTAGAGATCCCCAAGGACCCTGGGATTCCATCTGAAATCCTCAGGACATAGAACATAGTTTTAATTCGTAGGACTCCATCTTGAAATATTCCCCATCTTTACGTCTTAACTGTTATTTCGTTGATGAGTTGACTGTCCTGGAACCTGCTCTGTAGACCAGACTGGCCTGGAATTTGCTCTGTAGACCAGGGTGGCCTTGAACTCACAGAGATTCCCCCTGCCTTTACCTCCCCAGTGCTCCAATTAAAAAGACATTGTACATCCAGCTTACTGTTGTTTTTTTAAAAAAGATTTTAAAAATTATACACGTGTGTGTGTGTGTGTGTGTGTGTGTGTCTGTGCGCACAAGTGCAGTGTTGCAGAGGATATCGGATCCCTTGGTGCTGGAGTTAGAGGGAGGTTTGAGGCACTCAGTGTGCCAATCTTGGGTCCTCCAGAAACCCAGTGTGTGCTCTTAACTCCTGAGCCATCTCTCCAGCCCTCCCCTGTTCTTAACTGTGTAAAATGGAGGCACATGTTGATGGCTGTGATAATTGTGTCCTTCCCCTTCCGATTGTGGGCTCACAATTGGGCCTTCCTCCGTATTCAATGCTTTGTAAGTCACAGGTCCTGAAAACAATTTAGTAGGTTGTCACTAATATCAAACACACACACACACACACACACACACACACACACACACACACACAAATACTTGAACACCTACTATGTGCCAGTCACTAAAGCAGGTACTTTCACGCTGGCTTCATTCCTTCATCTCTTTATGAAGCTCACACTGTGGAACAGGGCATACCTACCTACCCCAGGGTTAACAGACGGAAAGTTAAGACTTGGAGCTCAGGTTACCCTGGTTACCATGATTAACCGTGATGGCAACAGGATCCTAACCAGCCTTTGTGAGAAGACGTACCTCCTTTGGGAGCTCAGAGGGCACCCACCAGGACTTAACAAGTGTGAGCTTCTTGGGTTGTGTGTATCTCCCCCTGCCAAGTTATCTACAGTCTTGATGCTTCTCCCTGTGTGAGACCCTAAGGAGGAGGGTGAGATGGGGATTTGGCCAGGCTTCTCGTTGGTCACTGCCTGGGAGAGCAGAGCCCCAGGGAAAGAAACTATAATTTGAAATTTGAGCTCTTCTGCTGTCTTCTCCAGCCCTCTGGTACGCAAGTGTCCCTGATCCACTGCCCTTGCAAATGAAACACTTCAGGCAGTCACCTGAGAAGGGGACTTGTCTTGCTCCAGAAACAGAGCCTCTTGTCTCTGGTGCCAGGACCTGGCTGTTCCAACCTAGCCTTACATGGTGGCTTGAACACTGCAGTGACTTAGCACGTGTCTGTAATGCACTGTCGAGAGGCTGGATACTGGCCTTCGTAGGGAGGGCCTGCCATCATGGGATGTGTGAACCACAACCTGGCCACAGCCTGGTGTTGCTGACAGGAAGGGAGGAGCTTGGCTGAAGCCTCCCTGAGACCTCACTTAGGTCCGTCCAGAGGAAGCTTGTGGTAGACACAACTCGCGGGCAAGCATCACAGGAAGCGGGTTGTGTGGTGAGACAGTGAGAAGCACTGAGCTGTGGCTTCCAGGGCCCTGTGCTGTACAGCTCTCCCACGCCTTCCTTCCAGTCCAGGGAGGCTGTGCTGGAGGCTACAGGTTCTGGTCCTCAGACCCTTGCAGGAGAGCCAGACAACAGTCTGCTGTCTGTCTGCCCTACCTGCTGTTTGTCCCTCCTCTGAAATTACTGTTAAAAAGACCTAGGACAGAAGATAGCACAGCTGATCCAATAGACAGCCAGGCCAGCATACGGTCCCTCAGATTTAGGTTCCAGAGTTTTCCACTATTGCCCAACCTTACTTCTCAGGATGAGATGCCACAGACAGGTAAATGCCCCCTCTCTTCTACCCTGTGCAGCCCACAGCTCACACTGTTCAGCCCACGGCTCATATTTTCTGTCGGGGACAACCGCAGGGCTTCCCTCCTAGCTTTGCAGTCTTCACCTGGATGTCTGACAGAAAGCTAACCTACCTCAGTCTATGTCCCTACCCAGTCTCCCCATGTGACTTCGGTACCAGCATCCCTTTAGCTGCTCTGCCCTGAAGCCAAACCGAATTCTCCCTGCCCCTCCCCTACCGGATTAGTTTTTAACTTGTTCCTATGGTCACCCTAGCCATAACAGTCAACTGCTCTTCCGGCCTCTACTCCATATTGTCTTCCAGAATGTTCTAGATATGGAAGCCACCCACCTTAAACTTCAGTTTCCTGGCCTGGGAGGCAGAGGCAGGTGGATCTCTGAGTTTAGGGCCAACATGGTCTACAGAGTGAGTCCCAGGACAGTCAGAACTACACAGAGAAACTCTGTCTTGAAAAACACCAAAACCAAACCAAACCTACCAACCAACCAATCACCCTGCAGGCTCCTCTGCCTCTTTTTACTGTCGGATGGTGCTGGAGCCAGAGCTCAGGGCCGCAGGCGTGACAGGCAAGGGTTCTACCACCGAGCACTGCCCTAGCTCCAGAACTCTCACCACTTTCTCTTCAGAATCTCTCATCCAGGACGGCCTCCAACTCTTTATTCTTCCTTTCACTTTTTTTTTTTGAGTTTCGAATGAAAATACTTTATGCGTATGACTCTCTCACTCTCAGGTATGCCTGTGCATCTCGTTATATATGCATTATGCTATGTGTCATATCCATGCAGGCCAGAGGGAGGCGCTGGATCTCCTAGAACGGGAGTTACAGACAGTTGTGACCGGTCAGGTGGCTGCTGGCGACGGAGCCTGGATCCTCAGAAAGAGCAGCCAGTGCTCTTAGGTGTTGAATCATCTCTCCTTCAGCTCTTGGCCTCTTCCCTGCCCCTGGCTCAAACCCTTTATGATTAGAGGATGAACCTGAGTTTCTGACCCTTCTGTACCTACCTCCGGCACACTGGCATTACGGGCATGTGCCATCATGCTTGGTTAATGCCAGGCTGTGGGTTGAACCCGGGGCCTTGTGTATGCTAAGCAAGCATTGTACTAACTGAATTAACTGAATTATATTCGTGGACTCCTCCCTCCCCCAACCCCTTCCCCCTCTCTCCTGTGCCTCAGAGTTATCACTTAAAACTGTCTTTTTTTTTGTTGTTGTTGTTTTGGTTTTTTTTTTGTTTTGTTTTGTTTTTTGTTTTTTGTTTTTTGAGACAGGGTTTCTCTGTGTAGTCCTGGCTGTCCTGGAACTCACTCTGTAGACCAGGCTGGCCTCGAACTCAGAAATCCGCCTGCCTCTGCCTCCCAAGTGCTGGGATTAAAGGCTTGTGCCACCACCGCCCACACTTAATACTGTCAATCAGATCATTTCTTTGTGAGCTTGGCTTTTTTTTTTTTTTTTTTTAAATAAGACATGGTGGTATCCCTATGTGGTCCAGGCTGGACTCAGGCTTACAGCTCTCCTGCCTCAGCCTGCTGCAATTAGGTAAATTTACTAACAATGTCTTAAAGGTGCCAGGGAGTTGACTTAGTGAGCGGAGGTGCTTGTTATGTGTGCCTGACAGCTGAAGACACAGAGCAGTGGGTAAGAAAGCAGGGACTTAAATTTGGTTCCCAGAGCCCACTTCAGGCAGCTCACGACTACCTGTAACACCACCTCCAACCACCATCTTGCATCTGTGGGTGCTACACCCTCACCCTCACCCTCACCCTCACCCTCACCCTCTCTCTCTCTCTTTCTCTCTCTCTCTCCCTCTCTCTCCCTCTCTCTTCCTCTCTCTCTCTCTCTCTCTCTCTCTCACACACACACACACACACACACATTCATGGATGCTCAGCAATTGAGAGCACTTGCTGTTACTGCAGAGAACCCGGGTTTGGTTCCCAGTGCCAACATGGTGGCTCCCAACCATCCTTAACTCCAGTTCTAGGGGATATAGTGCCCCCTTCTGGCCTTCATGGGTACCAGATATGTACATGGTTATACTTACATACATGCAGGCAAGGCATTCATATACATAAAAAATTTAAAAATATAAAATATAATTTTCTGTCTTTTCAACTAAAAAAATATTTACGCTCCAAGAAGATAGGGTAGTCAGAAGTGAAGTCTC